ATATACACACACACATACACACACATACATACATATATACACACACACATACATACATACATATATATACACACACACATACACACACATACATACATATATACACACACACATACATACATACATATATATACACGCACACATACATACATACACATACACACACACAKACAYACACACACACACACACACACACACACACACACACATACATACATACATACATACATACATACATATATACATACATACATACATACATACACACACACACACACTGTCAAAGCAAATTGTTGCAAACGATGGAGAGGGGGGGGGTAGGGGTACAAAATGTTCGCATAATAGATATTTTATTTTTTGTGGTGGGCAGAGGGGGGCGGGTGGGTTAGCGCTTAGTGGGTTATGCGATAATCATAATTTTTTTGTTTGTTTTTATATTAACATGCAAACAATTGAGAACATAGAGGATCGGGGGGGGGGTGAGCAAAAAGGGTGGTGGTCTAGATTTCTTACTATTTCGTAATAAGTGAATCATTCCCTCTAAATTAGGTTTTTCCTAATCTATCGTATCGATGGCTCCGTCCGATTGTTTATGATATTTGTCGTATGGCTACTACACATAATCATACCATTACTGGTAGGCCTATATCAACTATACCAACTACTGATTACATCCTCCTCCATCAGCTATGATGATGATGACAACGATGATGATGAGCTCCGGGATGATCCACACTATTGGCGCCAGAATTTCATACGTACATTGATTGTACTGATACAGGCATTCCTATCAAATTCAACCATATGGTCGGTAACGTTCCTCATGTGGAACATATCGCATGTTGCCTGGGAAGTACTCAAACAGATCAATGATAATATTAGACAACTGGCCAATAGATACAAGAGTAAGCGATATTTTTGTTGATTACACGATAGACTAACTAACTAACCTAAACCTAACTCTAACTCTACCAGTGCTCTACTATTGAATGTTATTATTTAGTATATATTTTTTTGTGTATAAAATATTAGTATATTTAATATCTCTGTTTTCTCTCTGTTTTTCTCTCTGTTTTTCTCTCTGTTTTTCTCTCTGTCTATCTCTGTCTCTCTCTCTGTCTCTCTCTCTCTCTCTGTCTATATCTCTGTCTATCTCTCTGTCTATCTCTCTATCCATCTCTCTCTCTATCTCTCTGTCTCTCTCTCTCTGTCTCTCTCTCTGTCTATCTCTCTGTCTATCTCTCTGTCTCTCTCTGTCTATCTCTCTGTCTATCTCTCTGTCTATCTCTCTGTCTCTCTCTCTGTCTATCTCTCTGTCTCTCTCTCTCAATGTCTATCTCTCTCTCTGTCTATATCTCTCTGTCTATATCTCTGTCTATATCTCTGTCTATATCTCTGTCTATATCTCTGTCTATTTCTCTGTCTATCTCTATCTCTCACTCTCAAACACAATAGATAAAGATGGCCAACAAATACATCCTATGGCTGGTCATCAGCGAAACGACGGCATACCGTCAAACAACGTCGTCCGTCAGCTCAGGTCACTATCGGAAAACAGGCGATTATTTTGCGAAATTAAACGCCAATTGGTATCATTGGATCGTACGGTAGCCAAAGTCAACATACTGGACATATCCGTTGCCGTATTTACGGTTATGGTTCAGGTATACTGTACGGCCCAGAATCTACCGATTCTCCGACAGTATTCAACGGTCACAACGTTTTTCATGTGCTCCGAGTGTCTGAAACTGGTGGTCAACTGTTGGGCCAATGGTCTGGTCTATGAACGATCCGAACGTGTGATGGCCTCATTGGACGACCTCGGGTTTGGTGTCGGCCAACAGTTAGCGGACGACCCGTCCGTATTTCGCCAATGGCTGGCCTTTAAGTCACAGTCACGGGACATACCGTTCGGGTTTACTATTGGCGGGTTCGCCAACTTTAGGAAACAGACACTATTGACGGTAATTATCGATAGTTTTTAGTCTATTTTATTAATTATTTTTTTTCATTAAATAAAATTATTAGTATATTACTGTATATATAATAGTAGACATTATTTTATTTAAAAAAAAATAAATTATATTTTAATCTATGATTTTAATACTTACAGTAATTTTATTTAATTTATAATAACATTTAATTTGTTATTATTATTAATTTTATAAACATTTTTTTTTTAAATAAATATTTATAATATAAGTTATCGATTTTTTTTAAAATTAAAATTATTAGTTTTTTTTAATATTGTTTTAATATTTTAATAATTTTGTGATATATTTGCAATTATTTTACAATCAATCATATTATTTATAATGATTATTATTATATATATATATATATATATAGTTATGTTGTTTTTTTTGTTTATTAGATATATTGCACACTAATAATAATAATTATTAGTATTTTTTTTGTTATCTTTTAAAAACTAAGACAACAAATATAATTATTATAATAATAATATATTTTCAATTAGGTATTCACATTTATGATGAATTATACGGTAATTGTTTTACAAACGGCTAAACAACAATAAAAATGGTTAACTAAAAAAAAAAAAACAATACAAACATTATATACAGTATATATACTATAATATAAATACTTGTATATATAATATAGTAATCTATTTAAAAAATAAAAAAAATGTTATCAACAATATCTATGTACAGTATATATATATATAGTAATATATTGTAAACAAACAAAAATATAAACATGTATGTTTGATGTTTGAACTTTAAAAAATTATTTTTAGACTAAAAATATTAATTACACAAAAAAATATTTTAGTTTTACACTAATTTATTCAATGCACATATCCGGCATGGTCTAGTGGTTAGGATAGCTGGCTCTCACCCAGCAGGCCCGGGTTCGATTCCCGGTGTCGGAACATTATTTTTATTTTAAAAAATTAATCACAAAAAAATTTAAATAAAAATTGTTCCGACACCGGGAATCGAACCCGGGCCTGCTGGGTGAGAGCCAGCTATCCTAACCACTAGACCATGCCGGATWGATATTTCAACYAAGTGTTAATTGTGCTAGCTACAAAATTAGTATACTATAAATAGTTATAAATATTTATACTTATATTTATTTAATTTATTATTAATTAATTTAATAAATATATATATATATAAACTATTTAGACTTTTATTTAATAAAATGTAAAATTATTTATTTTATGTTTTTATTGTTGTTRTAATAAATAAAACATTTACTAATATTATTCACTTATTTAAAAAACTATAGAAATTGTGTAAATTATTAAAAACAATAAAATATATTATTTTTAAACATTTATTAATATTATTCACTTAYTTAAAAAAAACTATAAAAATTKTGTAAATTATTTAAAACAATAAAATTTATTTATTTAAAAAAAACATTTATTAATATTAATTATTATTATATATATATACTTTTTGTTATTGAAATTATTATTATTACAATTGAAAAATTATTTTTATCATGCATAATTTTCAATATTGTATAATATAATAATATAAAAATATATATATTTTATAATTTAATAATATAGGTTTAAATTATTTTATTGGTATTATACATGTACAATATTAATACAATATATATATATATAGTATAAATTATTTTACTTTTACTTTATATACAGTATATACTATATATATATTGATTAAAAAAAATAAAAATTATATTGTTATCAATAAAGACAACAACAAAAATAAATAAATAAATAATGATTATTATTATTATGTGTGAAGTGTTAAAACATAATAAATGTCAATAAATTATTATWWWTATTATTATTATATATATATATATATATAATGTATAGACAAAATATGTACTGGCGCCTTTATCATTATTATTATTATTATTATTTAATTAGTATCAATCATACATTGTTATATAAATATTTTTATAGAAAATAAATTGAACTTTATAGTTTTAAAAAAAATTATAAAATATAATAATTTTTTTTATTTGACTAATAGTTATGGTAAAAGTTATATTAAATTAATTATTAATAATTAATATATTAATTTTGCAATTATTAATATTACAATATTTTTCAACAACAACAAAAAGAAACACATAATTATCATTAATTTTTTTTTTGGTTATATATTACTAATACTTAAAGTAACAATTTTAACGTAATATATACAGTATATATACAGTAAAAGCAAATATTTTATATATATATATTTATAACTAATACCTAAATTAAATACTATTATCACTTCACAAGTAATTGTTGTGTGATTTTAAGTAGTAATCAGTAATCAGTGATAAAAAATAATTAACAAAATTTGTTGTGTAAAGGGATTAATAATGGCAACACTTATAATCACATATTTAAAAAAATTAAGATATTGTTATTATAYRGTATATATAATATACTTATTAGTACAGACATACCTTTTTTGTATGTATGTGTGTGTGTGTGTGTGTCTACCTGTCCCACAAAAAATTTTACTAATATATTATATATAYAGTAATAWMTATTAAACATAACTATTAAACATAACTATTAGACATTCAAACACTTCAATACCTGAATCACTACATATAAAACACTTCCCTATTGTCTCAAAAACTATCAGTGGATTAATTGGTATATTAGTAAAAAAATCTAATATTTATTTATTTTTTATCAATATTTATATGTTCATAGTCTGCAAACATTTTTTTTTATTAGTTTAACTGTTATTTTTAATTACAATCATTTTTTTTGATTTGTTAATTATTTGTCATTTAGATAGCAAATAGTTATGCAAAAAATAAAAATATATATTATATATTGTTGTTGTTATATTGATAGCCTATAATTAATGTGATCTATAATTAAATGATTTATTAACAGTAGAAAAAATAATTGTTTTTCACTGAATTTCAGTGTAGTTTTGATTTATTATAATTTTTTTTTAATTATTATTATTTTTTGACAATAATGTCGTACATTAACCCGGTTTTGATGTCTAATAGTATTATTAATATTGTTATTATTATTTCAATTGTCATCACAAATGGTATTCAAAATTTTTTTTTTATTTATAAGACTTAATAATATTATTAAAATATTTTCGTTTATATGTAAAATATTATTATTACAAATTACAATGTATTAATGGTTCAAATAATATTAAACTAGTTTATTAAAATTAAAAAAAAACATTGACTTATTAATATTTAATAATAATAATAATAATAATAATTATAAATAATTAATTAATTTCGATTAAGTGTTATTTTATTTTGTCATAAATTATTTTCATAGTTCAATAAAATTAGTGGAAAAAACTATTTTAAATTTTCTGATAATTAGATAAAATTTTATATAAAGTATATTAAAAAAAAAAAATTAATTCATATTTATTTTATTAAAAATAAACAATTAATTAATTAATGCCTTTATTTCACCTAATGATATATATAATTAAATATTATTTTAAAAAAAAAATCTAATTATTTATTATATTCAATACTATTATAATTTATTAATTAAATGTGATTTATTTTTAATAAAAAAAAAATAAGTTACTGGTAATTCACCGCATCATCGGCCCCACCATACTCACCATGGTCATGATTACCAGGAGCCCAATTTACAAACCAATATAAATCATCCAGCACCCCCAGCACCTCCACCACCACCACCACAACAACAATTTCATCATCAACCGGGTGGTGCTCATCCGGGACACTATGGCCAACAATGGGGCCAACACCATCAACAATTGGAAATGGCACCACCAATTATTAATGGTGATGGTTGGGATGGTAGCGATCAGCTTATGTATCCGTACGAGCCATCAGACTATCTGACAACTATCAATTCGATGAAACAGATGCACGATCAGCCCCTACCGTTTAGGCTACCGTTTTCCGGGTTTGCCTTTACCTATATTTGGGTACGTAATCACTATATATATATATTCATATACTGTGTGTATGTGTGTTGTGTATGTGTATGTGTATGTGTATGTGTATGTGTATGTGTATGTGTATGTGTATGTGTATGTGTATGTGTATGTGTATGTGTATGTGTATGTGTATGTGTATGTGTATGTGTATGTGTATGTGTATGTGTATGTGTATGTGTATGTGTATGTATGTTTGTGACAAACATTGATAGCTATAAAGTTGATTAGATTTTTATTGATTTTATTTTTTATTTTTTTAAAGATAAATAGATAAAATAAAATTGATTGAATATTAATAGACTAAATAAAAGTTAAAGCGATATATCTTTTTATAACAATATATAAGATATATACAGTATATACTGATAAATGACTACTAAGTTAAATGTCAAATGATTAATAAATACTAAATATTTTTTGTCAGTTATGATGATTATCTCAAATAAACTGTAAATAATATGTGTTATATTTAACTGAAAAAAAATAAAATAAATAATTATTAGTAATAAATCATATTATAACATACATACAGGTGCACAAAGACGGTTACGTAACCTTCAATAAGGGTCTGAAAAGTTACTCATTTCCCGTGGAATTTCCTATGGTTCCCGACGATACCAATCTGGAAGAGGATCCGTCAATTATTGCCGCATTTTTTGCCCATCAGGACATACCCTCTGAGGTAGAGGGTTCGGGTGTCTACTATCGGCTGATTGAAATGGACAAAGAAACTAATCAGTCAATCAAACAACGTTTACAATCGGATTTTGGTCAGGCAATGGCCGCATCGGTTGGCTGGCAGCCGAAATTTGTGTTTATTATTACCTGGAAAAACATGACATTCCCTAATAGGCGCCGGGAACGGGAGCTTAAGGTATTTTTTGTTGTTGATTATTAAATATAATATATTAAAGTAATTTATTTATTAATAGTTATTTATTTATTACTATAGTATTATTATTGCTTATTAATATGTTAAATAAATAACTAACTAAAATACTTGTATATATATATATATATATATATATATTTATATATATATATGATTAATAGATATTTATTTATTTAACATATTAATAAACAATAATAATAGTAATAATAATATTATAATAAATAAATACAAATATAACTTATTAATATGCTAAATAAATAAATATCTATTAATCATATATATATATTTATATATCTATTTATTCGTATATATATATATATACGAATTATTAAGCATGCTAAAGTTAATTCAATAGATATTTTTTTATAATTTTATATTATAGTATTGAATATTTAAAAACTATTTAAAAAAAACTATTGTATTATTATTTAATACAGTATTTTATTATATATATATCGAGAGAGAGAGATAATTACATTATTTATATAGATTTTTTATAATTACATTATTGATATATTATTTTTTTATAATTACATTATTGTGATATTTTTTTATAATATAATATATTGTAATAAATAATAAAAACTAAATATAAAAATATTATTATTTAAAAAAAAATAAATAGACAAACACTTATCAAATGGTTTTGGCTACCGATGAGATGCAAACGTTTGTTATGTTTAACTATGAATGGATATCATGGATAACCCATTTGGATAACTATGCCGGCCTTAATGGACCGCCAGCTTTTGTAATTAAAAAAAAATTACTTAATTAATTTAAAACAAAAAATTTAGCTAGCTCAATTTTAACTTACATTAAATAAATATAGATTGGTTTCAATGGTGGCAACTCTACCCAGTCGTATGAATACCAGCCGTTTTCCCAGAATCCACGCCTAACTCTAATGCCCAAAATGGGTTGGGGTAACGGGCTACCTGGGCGATACTATTTTACTATTGATGAGGAACTGGAACCGGGTGCCTGTGTCAATAAGGAACTGGATCCCAATCTACCCGATCGATTGGTTTAGTATTATATATATTATAGCATACATATAGTACTATATATTGATTATAACATTACCTATTTATACCCACCCATCCCATACCATAGGGTTTGCATACATCAACCGATTATATACTGATGTTGGGCGGACAGGAACTGAATTTTACCGGTCCCTGTCTGACCCCTGATTCCTTAATTACATGTCGTTTTGATATATTTAAGGTCAGAGGTCGTATGATGACCCAGAATATTGGCTCATGTATTACACCGCCGATTATGTACGAAGGTATGGTATATACTGTATATATATATATATACAAAATATAATATAATATGATATATACTGTACTCATATAAATATATCTAAACTTTTTTAATTTTTTTATTTTTTTAACCACAAAAAAATCAATTCAGCTATTAATCAGTCAATTATTATATTTATATATTTTTTTGTTGATTTTTTTGTTGTTGTGTAAGTTATGGTTAAATAACTAATAGCTAACAATCCCTTTAATTTGTTGTTTTTTTATATGACTATATAATATTAAGTATCAGTTTATTTATTTATTTATTTATTTTGTGATAAAAATATAGTACAAAAACTTTTTAAAAAAAAGTATAAAAACATTTAAAACTTTTTTTTTTTAAAATATGATTTTTTTAGATAAAAAATTATTATTATAATTAATAAGTTTTTTTTTAAAAAACAAGTTTATTTTTGTTGTCTATAAAAAATATATATATATAACAAAAAATCTCTTATCTATAATACTGTATATAAATTATTTTTTTTTTGTTGTATATAAACACACACACCCACTCACCCACTTATCAATAGGTTATGTTGACTTTACCGTAACGGTCGATGACAAAACATTCTGGTATTCCCGTATGTATGTCCGTAAGTACTTAATACCGGTACTACTACCGGTGCTTATTTGCATCACCAATAATACTATATCATCATCAAAAAAAACATACCGTTCCTCAAACACATTAGAATCATCGGAAGCACGCAAAGAGTATGATGTCTGGGTCAGGGAAGAGGACATTGTCGAGAAACTACCCATTGATCGGACAGCTAACGGGGCGGCGGCGGCGACTGGGGGTGCGGACAACCCGCACATATTGACCATCGGCTGGAACAGTGATGACCTAACCTGGCTGGACAATGCCCAGGTATCCGTGTCCATATGGGGCTATCGTGAACTGTCCGATGTCTATCCCCAATTGACCTATCTGGTTGAACTGGCTCAGGGTGCCGATAATAATGGTCAACTTGAACTTGATCTAGCTAATCTACCCAAACTGGTCCCTGGCCAGTTTGATAACTATGAGTTTACTTTCGGTTATCTGGCAGTCAATGTTACCGGCGATCAATGGTCTCAAACATTGTGGTCCAAACCGATGCCATTAGGTATTTAGTATTTTTTTTTATATATATATATTATTTTATATAATATATGTGATACTACTAGTGTTATTGGGTGGGGGGTAACGGTATCGGTATGTATAATAATATCATATATATCGGTATCGCTATATATATATCTAACGATATCATGTATAATATATGTGTATCGATATACATATATATAAATATAACGATATCATATATATCGGTATCGCTATATATAACAGTATTATATATATAGGTATCACTATATATATAACTATATCATATAATATATGACATATATAATATATGGGTATCGCTATATATATATAACTATATCATATAATATATGACATATATAATATATGGGTATCGCTATATATATATATATATAACGATATCATATATATCGATATACATATATATAAATATAAATATAAGTTATATATAACGATATCATATATATCGGTATCGCTATATATAACTGTATCACATATATCTGTATCGCTATATATAACTGTATCACATATATCTGTATCGCTATATATAACAGTATTATATATATCGGTATCGGTATATATAATGGTATTTCATATATTTAACACACACACACACACACACACACACACACACACATAAATAAATAGGTTGGTTTATGCGACCCTATTGGATCAGAGAGTACGGCCACAATTGGTCGGGTAGATTTTGTTCAAAATGGTTCGATAGGGAACAGGAGCTTGATAGGTTTGCCCTAACCGTTTTCCGATGTCCCTGTACTATTGTCCAATCGGAACGTGATAGGGGTCGATTTGCACCCGACCTCCAGTGCAATGTTATCGACAAAAAGTGCGATACACAACATCACGGCGCCCAACACTGTGTCCGTACGGCCCGTCCATCGTTAGTATAGTTTTTAGTTTTTTAAATATTTTTTTCAATTTTTATAAATTCAATTAATATATGAAAACAATAAATAATAATTTTATTTGAAAAAATAACTTTTAATCTAAAAATTTAAATTAATTTTTTGTTGTTGTTTTGTATATATTTAAATCTTATAATTAACTAAATTATAATTTAATTTAAATAATTTATAATAATTATTACAAAAATAAATAAATATAGTTTTTAGATTAATTTATTTTAATATATAATTTTATATATATATATTCAATATTGTATATATTTTTTTTACTAAATAATTATAAATTGAATAATTTATTTATTATTATTATTATTTGATAAGTTATATCAATTGATAATTAGTTTTTTATATTTTATTGTTTTTTTAATATTAAATTCAAAAGAGTCGGCGGTTCGGGTCAGACCTGTTGTTACGACGACTACGGCGAGTTAGTACAGACAGCCGATACCATGTTTGGCGGCCGGCCCTCCCGTGCCTTTGTCTATGGCAAACATCCGTTCAAAATGGCTGTCATGGTATGTCTATGTATGTGTGTATGTGTGTGTGTATGTATGTGTGTGTCTATGTGTGTGTCTATGTATGTGTATGTCTATGTGTTTGTGTGTCTATGCTATGTCTATGAAGTATGATATATATATATATAATTTTTAAACTGAATACCTATCATTCATCCATCTATCCATTTATGAGCACAGGTACCTACACTATCCTATTGGCTATACGATATTATGCCGTTTTTCTATTGCTGTAAATGGTCGGCATCGGGTAAGGGTGACGACAATAGCGATACCTGTCAAATGTTTAACTACTGGCGCACATCGCAGGACTGTTCATCCTATCAGCCGCCCGGTGTCGGTATGTATACCAACAACAACAACAACAAAAATTACATACCTGTGCTCTAAATGTATGTATGTTTCATATTTTTTTAAGCTAATGTTTACGGCGATCCGCATATCGTAACGTTTGACCGGTTTAACTATACGTTCAACGGTAAGGGCGAGTTTGTATTGATAAATACCGATACCCCGGTCCACAAATTGGACATTCACGGCCGCTTTGAACAGTTACCCAATCTGGACGGTACCCATTTGACGGCGGTAGCCATCCGCGATAATATATCGGCGATAGTTGAACTACGGTTGAGGCCAGTGGCCGCCCGGTGGCAGTTTCAACTGTACCTGTTTGCCGATAAGGAAATGTATTATTTTTGGCAACCAGATATGCGATCCATACAGTTGAGGGGTGTCCAACTGTATCAACCGGCCGGCATACGTAATATGTCGCATGTGATAGCTATGTTTGATTCGGGTGCTGGGGTCGAGATTATGGTCACACCGGTCGGCTCGTTGATGCTTAACGTTTATTTGCCCCAGACTTTCATCAATAGCACTCGTGGACTGTTAGGTAAGGGATTGGGTTGGGTTGGGTTGGGTTGGGTTGGGTTGGGTTGGGTTGGGTTGGGAATGGGATCAATACAAAAAAATATATGAAAATTTTTACCTAAACTATAATAATAATCATATATATAAATAATTAATATTTTTTAATAGTTTATTTGAATTAACTTAAATTATTAATACAATTATTATTATAGTTATTAATACAAAAGTCAATTGACTTAAAAAATCAATATTCAAATTAATTTTATTTATAATTTTTTTTTGTTATTTAGTTTATTATTACTAATATTATATACTTATATATATATATAGTACGTTAATAAAAACTACCTAGTTTATCTATTTTTTAATTAATTAATAATTTAATTCACAAATAAAATAAATAAAAAATAAAATAAAATAAGCAATTTTAAATTATTATTAATTTATAATTTATATTTTAAAATTTTAAACAACCACTAGTTGTTAGGGGTTTGGGAGGTTTATATTTGAAGTACAATAACTGTTAGTAGTGGGGTGGGTGTGGTTGTGTAGGTGTAATGTGTTATCTAAATTTTTTTTGATGTATGTATTATATAGATATTATTATTATTATTACTGTATGTTTTTGTATATATATAGGCAAATGGACCCGCGATCCCTTGGATGACCTGGAACTGCCCGACGGTTCGCACGGTCCCAGTGCTCAACCAGGTCTGACCAGTCGTGATCTGTACCTGAATTTTGCCAATCATTATCGGCTGAAAGAAACCAAATCCCCTTACTTGGGTCAGTCCCTGTTCTGGCATAATCCAGTTCCTCATTCCCATTATGATGACCTAAAATTTGAACCAAAATTTGAGATCAGTCAACAAGATTTGGATGGACTGCCCGATGCCGACAAAGTGTGCAGCGATAGTCAGGTTAGGGTTTATTGTTAACAAATTTTTAGCAAATTTCCAAAAACAATTATAATAGGGAAATTTCTAGTAATTTTCCAATAAAACAACAATAATAGGGAAATTTTCATATAGAAAGTTTCTAATAAAAAAACAACAACAATAATAATAGAGGAAATTTCTAGAGTAAATTACACACATACATACACATACACATACACATACACATACACATACACATACACATACACATACACATACACATACACATACACATACACATACACATACACATACACATACACATACACATACACATACACATACACATACACATACACATACACATACACATACACATACACATACACATACACATACACATACACATACACATACACATACACATACACATACACATACACATACACATACACATACACATACACATACACATACACATACACATACACATACACATACACATACACATACACATACACATACACATACACATACACATACACATACACATACACATACACATACACATACACATACACATACACATACACATACACATACACATACACATACACATACACATACACATACACATACACATACACATACACATACACATACACATACACATACACTCACTAACTAACTAATCTATCTATCCATACATACATACATACAAAAGGCCTGTCTATACGATCTGGTGGTAACACAGGACACGGGTTACGCCCAGCAGACCAAACGTGACGAAGCATCAGCCGAACTGATACATCGGGAACTGAGCGATCAGATTATCCGATGTCCGGCATTACCGCGACCGAGAAATGGCCGCAAATCGGAGAACCGTTACTGGCCGGGAACTATCGTCAGGTTTTCGTGCGACGACGGCTATCGGCTGGTCGGCTACGAAGTACGCCGATGTCGGGAGGACGGGCTCTGGTCATGGGGTGTCGATCCCGAGTGTATCCGTGATCTTAAATATAAGCTAACATTGGCCGGTATATTCACGGGTGTTATACTACCGGTTATCGTATTGATTGCACTGTTTGTGGTTTGTTGGCGTCGCGGACGCAAATCGGTGGCCAATAATTATTATATGACCCAACCATTGATTAAGGATAGGGTGGTGGAGGACAGGGATCAGTTAGCCGTCAATAATAATGAATCTCACGATGAGGAGGTGGTAGGGGTTGACAACAAAACCAATAGTAATAGTAATGATAAGCATATAGCCATTGATGCTAAACAAGCTATTGTTTAGTGGGATGGATGGGGTGGGGGTATGGTATGGCAGGCCATGGGAGGTATGGGGGCTGTATATACCCCTATACCTTACAAAAAAAGCAAATAATAATTTTGCAACAATATATTGTCAATTAAAAATAATATGTGATTATATAAATAAAATTTTTWATTTTTTTTTTAGTAGTAGTATATAATTATAATATATATATAATATAAACATAAATATAATTATAGTAATTAATTTTTTTTTAATTAATGTAAAATCAATTTGAATAAATTTATTATTATTAATTTTAATGACTTATTTTAATTTTTATATTATAGTGTGTTATATATAAGTAAAATATTATTATAATTATTAATTATATAATAATTTATTATTAAAATATTATTATTAATACATTTGTTTTACAATATCTATAATATAATCTATATATCTTTATAATTATATATATATATATCTGTATATAAGTTATATTTATTATTATTATATATATATATATTTTTTTGGATAAAATTTAAATAATTGTTTCAACAAAACTATATATATACTATCATATATATCATAACAACAATTGTTTATTATTATTTATTTTTTAATAGTAGGTTTCATTATCCAGCCAACCTCCTGGACACCTCCTAATTATCAATTTTCTTAGCTCATCATAGATCAGGCATACAATGGCAAACGGTAGGGGCAATAGCCACCACAGGGGCCTTAAAAAAAGTTAATTAATTAATTAATTAATWAAATTATTAATAAATAAATAATTGATGGATTACTTTAATGGATAAAAGTTGAGACCCCTGTCCAGTCCGGGACAGTAGGATAGGAATACTACTAAAACCAACTCGAAAAACATGGCAAACGTTAGGACATGATTTCTAGATAGATAGGAAAGGGATGGGATGGGGGAAAGGGATGTATGGATTTTGGGGGTATTAATAATAAATAGTTAGTATATATAATATATATATATATATATATATATTATTAACTACTGACTTCATTCCCTGGCTAAATACGGACAGTCGTCTAGTCTTACAGCATACCAGTGCCGCCCATTTGGTCAGTACTACGGCCGCAAAAAAAGCCGTATGACAGGTGTACTCAAGTTTCTTGCGATGACTATAGGTCTGAGTAATTAATTAATTAATTACCGATAAATAAAATAATAATATTAATTATTAAATAAATTTTATATATTTTAACTAAAAAAAAATATTTTTATAAAATAAATAAAAATAAATTTATTATACAATATATTATAAATGTTTTTTTCTAAAAATTATTTTACACAACTAAAATTAATTGATTTATATTTACAATAATAAATTTATATCAATAGATGTTAATTATTAATTAATTAATTAATTAATTAATTTTTGAAATTAATTTAAACATTTATGATTTTTTTTATTTATATTTAAATCTATTGATAATTATTATTGTAGATATAAGTCAAGTAATGTTATATAAAATTATTATTAGAAAAAAAACATTTATAATATACTGTATAATAAATATATCAATAGATATATTTATAATTGTTTTATTTTAAATAAAAAAATTATATAAATGTCTAAATTAATTTCAAAAATTAATTAATTAATATAATATAAATAGATTAATATTAAGAGACAACCCTATGTTCAATATTACAGTTAGAGAATGAAAACTGACCTGATTTTTCAGGTCAGGTCCGAAAATTTTTTATTCATTATTTAAACGACAATTATTACAAAATATGACAATCAAACACAAAATTTATTAAATTATTATTTATAAAATATTTGTATAAATTAAACATAAAATATTACAAAAGATGATGGTTTTGATCTAATAAATAATAACATATTAACTTTATTAGAATCTAAGTTAGATCTACAATCAGTTATCGTTAATACCGAATAATTAAAGTTAATTTAGACAAATGTGTTGCGGGTATAGTATGAATAAAATTGTTTTTTGATAAAATTATTTTCGGACAGACATAGTCAGGTCATAAATTTGTACCCTATGTTAGGTCAAACATCAGATCAGGTACGGGTCAGGTACGGGTCCGAAACTTTTCGCTCTCTAATTACAGTAATACAATAATTTATAGAGGGGGTGGGGGCGGGGTGGGCTTGAATAACCAGTAGGGAATGGGTTGAGTGATAAACCTAGGAATATTAATTTTTAAAAATAAAATCTATACCCCTTTACTTTTGTACATATCCACTCCTCAAACACACACACACACACACCTACACACCTACCCATCCCACACACCTATACACCTAAGCACCTAAGCACCTAAACACCTAAACACCTACACACCTACACACCTACACACCTACACACCTACACACCTACACACCTACACACCTACACACCTACACACCTATACACACCTACACACCTACACACCTACACACCTACACACCTACACACCTACACACCTACACACCTACACACCTACACACCTACACACCTACACACCTACACACCTACACACACACACACACACCTACACACCTACACACCTACACACCTACACACCTAAACACCTACACACATACCCTTCCCCCCACACAAACACACAATACTAACCCATTCCTGTCCCAATGTATCCGATAGATCGTTGATCGCTTTTGAATCCCATTGGCTACGTATGCCCCACAGGGTTTGCGGGAAAAACCCGTTTTCGGTCATTATGACTATGTAGGCATAGAAACCGGCGGCCACTTGAAAGAAACCCATCTGACCATAGGATACCGACACCAATCTATATGTCGGGACATCCAAATAGTATGAGTATGGAGGACAGGGAGTATGAGTTAGTTAAGGACAGGGAGTATGAGTTAGTTAAGGACAGGAAGTATGAGTTAAGGATAGGAAGTATGAGATAAGGACAGGGAGTATGAGTGTTAAGGACAGGGAGTATGAGTTAAGGACAGGGAGTATGAGTGTTAAGGACAGGAAGTGTGAGTGTTAAGGACAGGAAGTATTATTTAAGGACAGGAAGTATGAGTTAAGGATAGGAAGTATGAGATAAGGACAGGGAGTATGAGTGTTAAGGACAGGTAGTTAGTTGTTAGAAAGGATCATATAATTTATGTCAAATTGAGTAAACACTCGTATGTATTATAAACTAACTTTTCGGTAACCAATCGGTCCTTACGTGGATTACGCGGTTTACGTTTCATTATATCGGATTCGGGTCCTTCGTAGGCCAAGGATATGGCCGGTACCATATCGGTACCGAAATCAATGCACAGTATGGTTATGGCACCCAATGCCAGCGGTACGTCCAACAGGAAAAAGGCGACAAACGGTGTCATTTCGGGCATTTTTGACGATAGTGTATAGCATATGGATTTTTTCAGATTATCAAATATGACCCGACCTTCCTCTATACCGGTTTCAATGGACGAAAAATTGTCGTCCAATAGTATCATATCGGCCGCCTGTTTGCTAACATCACTGCCAGCGATACCTTACGATATATTATATATTAATATATGTTTTTTAGTCAACAAAAAAATATTTCAAAAAAATCAACAAAAAATAGTATTTAAAATTTTAAATAAATAAAAAAAAATAGTATTTCAAAATAAATCAACTAAAAAAATAGTAATTCTAAAAAAATCAACAAAAAAATAGTATTTAAATAAATTAACTAAAAAAATAGTATTTCAAAAATTAAAAAAAAATTTATAAATAATTCAATAATAAAGTCTAATATTTATTATATTTTTCAATATATAAATATATATAAATTATTAAAAGTTTATCGAAAAATATTTTAACAATGAATATATATTTAAACAGTGATTAGGGTTTTTTTTATATAAAATTATTTCCACCCTCACTAACTATGTACCCCCCTCGCCCGGCCCCCACTCTCAAAGTCAATAATAAACAATTACTATTAATATATATATACAGTATATATATCTAAATATACTAGTAGTATATAATTGTAATATATTATAAATATTATACGTATATATTGTTAAAACATATTCAATACACTATTGGATTAATTGTTAAACTTATTAGATTTAAAAATTAAAAAAAAATATCAATAGTTTATATTATAAACTTTATACTTTATAATAAATATGAAGCTAATAATAATAATAATAAACTTTCCATTAAAATTTTACTTATATTTTCAATATTAACAATAATTACAATAACAGTATAATACATATGAATATAAATTGAACTATAACTGCCATTGAACTACCAATAAAACGGGGTTTGGGTTAATAAAAACTAAACTAATATTTAAATTATTTCAAAATAAATATATTTTTAATAGGAATTATTAGTAATTATTAGTTATTATATCTATTATTAATTATTGTATTAATTATTAATATTGATAATTATAACAAACACATTGCCATTACATACCCATTGCTACACCGATATCGGCTTTTTTCAGTGCCGGTGAATCGTTGACACCGTCACCGGTAACGGCCACAATGGCACCCTGTCGTTGACAGCCCTCGACTATTATGAGTTTTTGTTGGGGCGATGTCCGGGCAAATACAATCTCCGTATGATTGGCCAATACTTGGTCCAAGTCGTCGGCCGTGAAATCTTTGAGTTGCGAGCCGTGAACTACCGCTGCTTTGCATAGACTGTATGTATAGATACAGACAGTATAGACATCATCAGTATATCGGGTAAATCAATCAATACAATTGCTGGACATCACACTACTGCTTACGTGGGATCAACTTTGTCGACACCGATGGCCAACCGGTCGGCCATTTCCTCGCGGGTTTCGTTCTCGTCGGATATAATACCGACTGCCCGGGCAATGGCTTTGGCGGTTATCGGATGATCGCCGGTAACCATAATGACTTTGATGCCCGCCTGGCGACACTTGGCTACTGCATCGGGAACGGCTGGTCGCGGCGGATCGATCATTGATACGACACCGACAAATCGGAGGCCAGTCATCGGAAAGTTTTCGGTATCGTCGGCGTCAAACGGAAAATCATAGGGAAAACGATCGACGGGTAGAAACTTATCGCACAAACCTATTATTATTAAAGAGTGGGTATATTAATAGGTATGAGTCGAGAGATAGACAGAGAGATAGACAGAGAGATAGACAGTGAGATAGACAGAGAGATAGACAGAGAGATAGACAGAGAGATAGACAGAGAGATAGACAAAGAGATAGACAGAGAGAGAGTTAGAGAGAGAGAGAGAGAGAGAGAGAGAGAGAGAGAGTTAGAGAGAGAGAGAGAGAGAGAGAGAGAGAGAGAGAGAGAGAGAGAGAGAGAGAGAGAGAGTTAGAGAGAGAGAGACTGAGAGAGAGAGAGACTGAGAGAGAGAGAGACTGAGAGAGAGAGAGACTGAGAGAGAGAGAGAGACWGAGAGAGAGAGAGAGACTGAGAGAGAGAGAGAGACTGAGAGAGAGAGAGAGACTGAGAGAGAGAGAGAGAGACTGAGAGAGAGAGAGAGAGACTGAGAGAGAGAGAGAGACTGAGAGAGAGAGAGAGACTGAGAGAGAGAGAGAGACTGAGAGAGAGAGAGACCGAGAGAGAGAGAGAAACAGAGAGATATATAAGACTAACGTTTGTTAGTAGTCTAACTAACCGATAACCCGTTCCCCTAGACTGCCCAACTCTTCGTAGGCCAGCTGAAACTGTTGCCTAACCGAATCGGTAAGCGGTACCTCACGGCCACCCTTTACAATGATTGTACTACACTTTTCCAGTATACGTTCGGGTGCACCTTTCATGCACAGATAGTGACCATTATCCCCGCGACACTCGCTAATGGCCAGTGCATACTTGTTGGTCGAATTGAACGGTACTTCAAATACTTTTGGCTGCCGTTGCCGATAGCCGTCAACATTGCCGGTAATTATTTCCATATATTTCAATATAGCCACCTCTGAGGCATCGCCAATGGTTTCTCTATATATATATATACCATATATATTGAATATATTGTTTTTTAGGTATTATTGTTTGGTTATCACATATACCCCCCAAATAAGGTATAGTGTATTGTATTGAAATAATAAATTTAGTTTTTAAAAAAAATTAATTATATAAACTATTATATATAATTTATTAATTTAAAATATATTTTATTTTGTTGATATATATATATATATATTGATATATAGAAACTTTATATACTGTATATATGATTGACTTTTTTTAAAAAAAAATAAAATAAATACAGTATCAAAATACATAGTAATTAATATTAATTAGTAAATTAATTACAAATTAAACGAAAAATAAAATTAAAAAATAAAATATTAATATTTTTTAAATAATTTAAATATAATTTTATTTTGTTTAATCTGTAATTAATTTTATATATTAATATTTAATATATAAATTTATATTAAATATGATTTTATTTTTTATTATTTTTAAATACTACTCTATATTATACTACTGTTTTCATAATCTATTTTTTTTTGCTAATTTCAAAACTATAATTACAAAAACAATATGATTTTCAAATGCAGTTTAAATACAGTTAGAAATTTTTATTACTATTAGTTTTTAGTAAACCAAACAACAAAAACATACCGTTTCAATGGTGACACTTTGGACTGGCCAGCGGTAAACTCGGCTCTACTACACAGACAGCACACCCGGACCAGGGCTTTCCAAGCGGGTGAGTCCATGTCGACTTTGGTACCTTCAAAAATAATAATTATAATAATTAAGTAATTAATAGGCTTATACCTAACTATCATCCAACCCCTACCCCCCACAAAAAATATACTAACCGTCCTGATGGCCAAACAGATTGTCGGCATCGGTTATATTACTTAATTAATTAGCTAATAGACACTTAACCCTAACTATCATCCAACCCCTACCCCCACACACAACAAAAAAAAATTAGCTAACCGTCCTGATGGCCAAAAAGATTGTCGGCATCGGTTATATTACTTAATTAATTAGCTAATAGGCGCTTATCCCTAACTATCATCCAACCCCTACCACCCTCTACCCCACTCACAAAAATATATATACTAACCGTCCTGATGGCCAATGGGATTGTCGGCATCGGTTATATTACTTAATTAATTAGCTAATAGACACTTAACCCTAACTATCATCCAACCACTACCACCCCCTACCCCACCCACAAAAATATATATACTAACCGTCCTGATGGCCAATCAGATTGTCGGCATCGGTTATATTACTTAATTAATTAGCTAATAGACACTTAACCCTAACTATCATCCAACCACTACCACCCCCTACCCCACCCACAAAAATATATATACTAACCGTCCTGATGGCCAATCAGATTGTCGGCATCGGTTATATTACTTAATTAATTAGCTAATAGACACTTAACCCTAACTATCATCCAACCACTACCACCCCCTACCCCACCCACAAAAATATATATACTAACCGTCCTGATGGCCAATCAGATTGTCGGCATCGATAATAGTATTATTGCACCACAAATGCGAAACAGTCATCTTATTCTGGGTTAATGTACCGGTTTTATCGGTACATATGGTTGATGTTGACCCGAGGGTTTCGACGGCCTGTAGGTTTTTGACCAGACAATTTTTGGCAGCCATACGTTTGGCCGTCAGAGTTAGCACAACAGTCATTGTTGGTAGTAGGCCTTCGGGTACCTGTGCTACGATTAGGCTGATAAAAAATATACAACTATTTAGCCACGAGTAGCCTAATAGGTAGGATGTGATGGCAAATAGGGCACCGAAAAACATCGATACAGCCGTTATGACCGATAGGAAACGGCTAACGTCTTGCGATAGTGGGGTGTCGTTGGCTTCGAGACCGGCAGCCAGTATGGCTATCCGTCCCATTATTGTACGATCGCCGGTACGTACGACTAGTCCCCGAGCTGTACCTTCGACACAGTTAGTCGAGAAAAATGCTAAGTTTTTTGTCTCTAACGGGTTTTCATGGGTACAGTCTAGGGTACGGGACAGCGGTTCCGATTCACCAGTCAATGACGAGTTGTCTACTTTGAGTCCCTGGGATTTGACGATACGTAAGTCGGCCGGCACCTGGAGGTGTGTGTGTGTGGTTAACATATGGGTATTAATTATTATACAGTGTTTAGATAGATATAGGGCTAATAGGGCGTGAGGACAGTGAGGACAGTGAGGACAGTGAGGACAGTGAGGACAGTGAGGACAGTGAGGACAGTGAGGACAGTGAGGACAGTGAGGACAGTGAGGACAGTGAGGACAGTGAGAGGACAATGAGGACACCCTTACCTGATCGCCGCCCTTAATCTCGACGAGATCGCCGCAAACCAGTTGCTCGACCGGACAGTTCATTTTGGCACCGGATCTGATGACAGTAGCCGATCGGGGTATCAGATCTTTGAACGAATCCATTATGTTAGCACTTTTTGCCTCCTGATAGTAGGAGAAGCAGCCGGATATGAATACAACGGCTCCCAGTGCTATACCCAGATAGAGCTATTTGAAAAATTGATTTCGGGGCGGGGGGTGGGTGAACAGTCAGTTAGGTTAGTTAGGTTAGTGATATAGAGAGGACAGGGATCAGTAATCAGTATTAAAAGTGATGGTGGATACAGATAGCGTATGCATACATGCATGGGGGGGGGGTATAGTATTAATGGGTTAAATAAGGTAATCAATCAATCAGTTAGTTTATATTAAATATCTAGGGTAAACCATACATTTAATTTTTTTTTTGAAAAAAATGACCAAGGGTGCATAATTGTAGATAATATTTTTGTAGATAAATCAACATTATTTTATAATTGATTATTTATTTTTGATTTTTTGTTGTTGATTTAATTGGTAAAATTAACTAGATAAGTCAACTATGTCGATGCTATTATCAATAGTTAATTTTTAGCAATTAATCAAAAATAAAATTATGTATAATTGATTATTTATTTATTTTTTTTTTGATTTAATTGGTAAAATTAACTAGATAATAGCATTGATATTAGTTGATTTAGCTAGTTAATTTTACAATTAATCAACAACAATAAAAAAAATAAATAAATAAAATTATGGCCTTGGTCATTTATTATTTTAAAAAAAAAAATTTGAATGTATGGTATTAATTTAATATATATATTATATATAAACTAACTGATTGATTGATTAACCCTGTTTAACCCATGGATACTATACCCTCCATGCATGCATGCATACACTACTGTATTTGTATCGACCATACAATTAATACACCAACTGTCCCCTAATATATACCTGTACTTACATTATCTGGCGGTACTTCCATGGGTTCCAATGTTGTTACTTGGATGGTATAGGCAACAAAACATAGTACCGATCCGATCCATAGTAGTATATTAAACCAGCCAAACATATTCTGTAGGAACCGAACCCATTCGGGTGTGATTTTTGGCGGTGTTATCGAATTAGGTCCGTCCCTATGGAGTATCTCTTTGGCCAAACCGGGCGATAAACCCTTTTTGATTTAAAACAACAATTAAAAAAACAAAACAAAATATATTAACATATTTTAACATATTTTAACAGTTATTAAGTGTTTGGATAGATTGAGAAAATTATAAAATTATAGGCAATTTTTTGTTTTAAATTTTTTTGTTTTTTTTAGAAAGTTTCTAAACACAAATTTCTATTAAAATAAGGGATATGACCATGATGAGTTAATTTTGTTGTTATCAATATTTGTTATAACATTGTTGTAACAATGCATGTACAATTAAATTATTAATAGTAGTTTATTAATTATAAATTAATGTATAAAAAATCTATAATTATTTTAAATTATATTAAACTATATATTAAAATAACTATATTATATAAACTATATTAATATATATATATATATATATATACAATAAAAATATCAATAAAATTTTACAAAATTTATTATTATATAAAAATAATTATATATATATATATATATATATATATCCTATTTTGTTTAGTAGTATTAAATATAGTATACATATAATGACTATAGATATAGAGGAGTATACTTATTGTATAATAAAAAAAATAATTAATAAAAAATTCTATAGAAATTTATGATTGAAAAAATTTATTTTTATAGAAACTTTCTATTTGTCTAAATTAAAAACAATTATAATAACACCAACCGTTTCCGTATTGGTAGTCAAACGGCGGCACAGGTCGGCCATCGGTATAATATGGTCGTCCATTTGGACTTCCGACTTAAGTTTGTCCATTTCGTCCTTTTTGCGGCCTTTTTTGCCACCAGTTTTGGCCAATGATTTATCGGCAGCACCTTTACCTTTACCACCAGTTCCTCCTCCTCCTCCTCCTGAGCCACGTGTGTCCACATACTTGTCCGTATAGCTGATGGCCCGGACATTGTCATTCAGATCAAGTGGTTGTCTATTATTATTATTATTATTGGTAACGGCATTAATGGTGACGGCATCCGATTCCTTGACAGTATACTTAAAATTATTAATTATTAAAATTAATTAATTAATTTAATTAATTTATTTAAAAAAAAACAATAAAATAATAGTTATGTTTTTAAATTGTGTTTTAATTTTTATTTTTTTATATAGAAATAATTATAAATCTATCTATAATTTTCTAATACAGTTATTATTATAGTATTATTATTATTATTATAAAGTATATAGAAATTATTTTCTAGTATTTTATTTGTAATTTTTTTTAAATATATATATATAAATTAACAATTGCTGAGACATTATGTGTATATATATTATCCAAAATAATAATAATAATAATTAAAATTAATAAAATAAATTGTTTATCTTTTTTAAAAATAAAAATATGATTCAATTAATATTCAATATAATAAAAGAAAAATTAATTTAATATTAACTGAATATATTGTATAATATTTATATGAGTTGTTAATTAAACTATTTTTGTCTAAATTTTTTTTAGATTATGATTTAAATTTTTATTAAAAGGGCTTATATTATTATAGGATATTGCAAACTAAACTTAATATATATAAATTTACAATTAAATTGTAATAATTAATATTTAAAAAAAACAATTAAATAATATAGTCTTTTAAAAATTGAAAAAACAAAATGAAATACAATATATGTTTATTTCAAACAATATTGAAATTTAAAAGAAAAATTGTTTTTATAAGTAGTAACTAAATTTAAATTATTACATTTTAAAAATATTATGTATCATATTTTTGTTATTTAATTTAGAAATTAATATTTAATATAAAATCTAAAATATTGCAATTAAAAATAATTGTAATCTATAGTTTATTATAGTTTAACTATAAATAATATTATAAACATATAGTAATTAATTTCTAGTATTCTATAAAAATAATATAATAGTAATAATAAGATAATAAAATTTTTTAATATTCAAAAATAATAATTTTTATTATAAAAAATTAAAATTACCAATTGCCGAGACATTGTAGATTATCACACAAAATACTAACAATAATTAAAATTTAATTTTTCTTATTTTTTTAAAAATATGAATAAAACAATAAAAAATAATTTATATTTATATATCAATTTTTTTAACGAAAAATAAAGTAAATTTTTTTAAGGACAATTTAATTTTAATTATTATTTTTATTATTATTAAAAAAAATCACAGCAAATTAATTAATTTATTAGTTAACATGGTATATATATATATATTTATTTTTTTGTTGGTAACACTTGAACGATAACATACACTATTAAATAAAAATATATATAAATATATATATTTATATATATATATAATCATAAAACTATGAAACTATGAAAATAACATTTATAATAATAAAATATAAATTATATCTAAAAAATTATTCTATAGTTTTATATACAATAATAGAAAATAAATAAATAAATAAATATTACATTTATAACAAATTAAATAAATAAATCTTAATTAATGAATTGAATTAATTTTAATTATATTAACTATTAATAATCAATTAATATTATTATATTTATATAATAATTTTATTAATATATATATATATATATATATATATATATATATTGAATATATATTTGTTGTCTAGGTTTTAACACTTACCTCCTTTGACCACGTTTTTAAATAAAACATACACATCAATTTTGAAAAAAAAATTTATTTTATTAATACTATATAAAATAAACATTAAAAAATTAATTTTATTTATTTTGAATAACACAAAGCTCCTTTACCAGAGTTTTACCATAATATATAGACATAAATTTAGAAAAATTAATATTTTATACATTTAATTAGATTTATTGGAGATATATTTTTTATTGTTTCATTGTACAAAAATATAGTATAAAAGCAATTGTATAATAAATTTTCAAGTCATAATAGTCTTTATGTAAAAGTAGTGAACAAGTGAAATGGATGATATAAATTACAGTGACTTAAATAAAAGACTAGAGTCATATAAAAATTTTCAATGGACAGAAAGGATTACAGTAAATAATTATCAACAATTTGCTGAAGCAGGATTTTACTCAATTGGATTACAAGATTTTTTGAAATGTTATGAATGCAAAGGTGGACTATGTCTATGGTTACCTGGTGATGATCCATGGATTGAACATGCGAAATATTATCCACATTGTGCATTTTTGCGTGAAAATAAAAGCTTAGTTTTCATAGAAGAATGTACTAAAATTCATAATGAAAGACTAAATAATGATAAAATAAAATGTTTTGATATAACTAATGTAATAATGAATAATAAGATAGAAAATAACATGTTATGTAAAATATGTTATATAAATGAATTTGATATTGTATTTTTTCCATGTTCTCATTTATTAACTTGTTATACATGTTCAATGAAATTAACTAATTGTCCAATTTGTAATGCAATTATTGTATTAAAACAAAAAATTTTTATTTCTTAATAATATTTTACATGAATAAAAAATAACATTATTTAGTAAAACGTTCATTAAAAATTTTTTCTCGAAATTCTTTTTCTAAAACATAAGATATATTTTCTCCAATAAGTTTACATTTTATTTCATGAATACGTCTATCCCATACTATCCAATGCCAATTAGAAATTCTTGCTTGTTTAGAAGCATATGGCCAAACATACATTATTTTTACTTGTACATTATCACAGAATCTAACCGATTTCATGTTTTTTTTAATTTATTAATTATTTTAATAATTATTTTATCATTCAATAATCTATTACGTAAAAAAAAGTTTAATATTCTTTTAAGACTATAATTTCTTGTTCGCAGTAATATATAAAATATAGAATAATAACCACAAGTAGTTGACAAATAATGTTGTAATGGTATTTGATTAAATATATATTTTTTACCATTTAATTTAATAAAGGAATATATTTCTGGGTGATAAGGTTTTCTTCCAAATGAATCAAAATATTCAATTGGTCCAGTAAGTGGAACATATATAGCAAACCAGTGTTCTCCAGGTTGTGATGATTTATGTGTGTTAACAATCAATGCACACGGTTTAATAGTTTTTATATAACTTATCTGATTTAAAGCTAAAACACCACAAAATTGTTTTTTTGCTATTTTATCTCTTTTAATAAAACTTAATATTTGAATAGAATTCATGTTTAGTAATCAGTAGTTACATTTCTATTTTCATCAATTTCTATAGTATTATCAAATACAGCATAACAAATTAACTTTATAGCATTTGCTAAATTTTCTGAAAATTTTAAATGCACATTAATATATCCACTTTTAGGTAAATTTATATATTTGTTAGTAAAACTAAAATCATTATTTAAATTAAAAGCATATAAACATAATCCATTTTTATAATTTTTAACGTCAATTGGAGATGGGTTATTAACGTAATTATATCCTAAATTCAATAATAAATCGTGGTATTCTCTAGCAAATAAATCTGTTGTATAGTTAGGTTGATACGGTACTTTAGGTATCATATCTCCATTGACATTTAAACTTAAACTATTTAAATTAAAATTTTGAAATCTTAAAGGATCTCGATAACTATTTCCTCTGTAAGCTGCATCGTCAACCATACCTAAAATAATTTTACTAGGTAATTGACCTAGATATAAATTATCTATATTAAAAGTTGATTGTCCTTGAGTTAAATTAATTACTTTAATATTAGGTCGTTTAACTGTATATAATGCATTAGAAATTCTTAATGCTTGTGCGTGTGCATTAAGTAAATTTGGTGTTACTTTAACTTTTCGAGCAAAAACACTCATATCTGTAATTTTTAACAAAGGATATTGATCTGCTGTCATTGCTGCTGTTTCAGAAACTGTTGGCCATCTTTCATTTGCTTTAGTAAATTCTAATTTAATTGGTACACCACTAATTAATAATTTATTTGTTGTAAATATTGGCCCATGTAATTTTCCGTAAAATTGCATTACTTTACTAGCATTACATAAAGTTGCTAAGTGTTCATTTGGATTTTCATAATTATATGCTGGTGTCCAAAAAGTTGTAACAAAGCCAGATGATGCAACAGTTGAGTTAGAATAATTTGATTGCTCAGTAACCGCTTCAATAAATGACATATAATTATAATTTTGAGCAGCTTGACTCACTAATGTTGATCCGAGATAAATAGCTAATTGATCAAATGCTGTGTTTAAAACGTAATTAGTCGGCGCAAAATTATTAATTGCTGCTGCAAAATTTGTTCCGTCTCTGTTTGTTAATTTACAAGTCAAATATAAATAAATATTTCGCATATCAATATACTCATCAGCTGATGCTTGAATTTCAAAATCAATTGTGTTTGAATCTATTACATTTGATTTAGGTCGATATTCAAGTATTTGTTGACTTTCAATTGTTCCTTGATATTTTACTTTTTCAAATAAATCTAATTCATCTTTTAAAATTTCAGTTGCCATATTTAAGCAAATATATCCAAATTACGTTTTTGTTTATTTTTACCTTTTTTTGATTTTCTAATAAATCGTTTTTTATTTTTTTTATTAGTTCTGGGTTTTCTTCTTAAACCAGAAACTTTGTTTTTATAAATTTTAGTTTTTACAGATTTTGATTTATGTGGCAAAAAATCAATATTATTAGGTTCAATTTGATTTATACCTTGAATTGGTATTCCTTCACCTTTTTGATTATTTTTTGCTTGTGCACAATAATATGAATTATAATCCATTCTGATAAGATGTACACATGTTGCTAATAAAAATACAACTAAGTTATATTTTGTACTGAGGTCTTATTATAAGCGTAGCAAATAATTTTCCTTTTCTAAAAATAAGATTGTTGTTTTCTTCATCAGTGATACGCAAAGTGATTGTATTAAATTCATTGTATTTTAATGGTATAAAATTTTTAACGTTGAAATCAATTTTTATAACATCATCTTTTTCCGAAATATTTGTAGGGATAATTCTTAATATATTAGATTTTTTATTTTGATAATTAGATTCAATAATTATATTACAATAAACAATTAAATAATTTATATTTCTCGAGACACTTAATGGACGAACATCACTTTTAATTTCTTCTATATTTTTAATAGATGTTTTTAAAGCGTTAGGAATGTCAGAATTTTGATATGTTAAATTAATTTTTTCATTGTTTATTATTTTATATAAGGAAAAATTATCAAATAAATTATTTATATTATAATTTTTCAAACCTAATAGTTTTTTTAAATTTTCGTTAAAATCAATATAAAAAACACCTCTTAACAAATAATATTCTACTTTCTTTTCATTGTCAGGTATTGCTTTTTTATTTGTTGGTTTTATTTTTTCATATTCTTCTTTACTTATTAAAACATCATCATCATCTAAATTATACCAAAATTTTGTTGGCATATAAAAATTTCCATTTTTAATTTTATAGATATTTTTTGTACTATCAAAATCAAATACAATATTATTAATTCTCCATTCTAAACCAGAACTGTATTCTCCATAATTACCAATTACCTTTGTTGAAGGCATTTTGAATGTTTTTGGATATCTTTTTTTAATAGTATTTTCAATGTTTCCATTAATTTTAGTTATAATTTCTTTTATATGGTCTTTCCAATGAATATCTTTGTTATGTAATATTTCGTAATTTTCAGTTATATTTTCTCCTAATGAATAATTTGAATCAAACTGCACAACAAATTTTGTAATATTGCTTAATCTATGTTTATCGTGCTCAACAATATCATTTTTTATGTCACCATAAAATGATTCTGGTACCCATTTGAAATTATAAGTAAGAACTAAATTTTCTAAAGGTTCTTTTAAATCAAGCCTTTTAGGAATAATTAGCTCAGCTAAAGCACACTCTTGTGGTTGTTTAAAAAATATGGATGGATTATAATCTACTTCTACAGTACATTCGTTATTATTATTAGTTAAATAAAAGTATTTATCGTCACTTTCAAAATAATTCATTTTTTAATCAATTTTTATTAATTCATTAGAGTAATAAGAACCTCTTATAATTACACCTTTTTTGTCTTTTA